GTTACTTCTTTTCAACATCAAAGGAATTACAGAGTCAAGGAAATGTTTGCCTCAAAAGTAGTTCTCTTTCCTTCCTTTGGCTTATATTAAAAAGAATGAGGTATTTATTTTTGTAATTTAGCTCCTTTTTCTGTACTCTCTGAATAATCCATGTCTATTCAAAGCTCTTTGCAGCATGAGGGAAAATGTCACCATGTCCCAGGAACTCCCTGGCCTTCTAAAGTCCTGTCGACAGCCAGGCTACAAAGTTTGGTATGTAGGGTTCCCTGGGTTCTTGCTACTCAAAGAGTGATCTAGCATTGGCATCACCTGGGAGGTTGTTAGAAATGCAGAATCTTGGGCATGAATCAGAATCGGCCTTTTAACAACCTCCCCAAGTGATTTGTATGTGCTGTCCTGGATGCTTTTGTGTGAACACCTATTGCTTCTCTCTGGTCTAGAAGTAAGTCTGAGACCACCTATACTGCCACCCCAAAGTAAGAACCATAGGTTGAAAACAAGAAGGTTTTCATTATTTGGGGACATAGTTTCATTTATTTTGTCTGATAATTACTAAATTTGGGTTGGAAGGAACTTTAGAGGTCATCAAGTTCAACCATCATCATTGCTGTGAATTTCAGTAAAATGACCAATTTTTTTAAAAAGGTTAAATTGTCTTGAGCATATTCTGTTCAAGAAGGTAAAAGCATATGATACGTCACAGAAAAGCAGCCATAAGAATGGGAGAAATTTATATATTAAAAAAGTTTTAATGATTAAAGCAATAAACTTCAGCTATCTGGAAAATGTACTGAAGTGAAATATCTCAGTCACGGCGGAGTCCCCAAAGAGGTGTTTATCTCTTAAATTCATATTCCAACACCATATGTTTATTTTATATCTGCCAAAACCTGCTGTCTTATACAACTGTGATTTTAGTTTAACTTCCCATAAATTCAAGAAAGTGCTATTATCTATTAAAGTAAAATTTCTAGAAAGGGAGAAGAGATAAATCCCCCTTACAAAAGAATCACAAATAATACATGAAGATAAACCTCTCTCCCCTTCCAGACTGGTTTTAGTGACTCACTTCCAAAAATCAGAGAATGGAAAGAAAAAAGACAAACTTTACAGTGGAGAAACCTGGCAAACTCCACCTTAACCAAGGGATCAGGGTTGATATCACCGGTGATCGAAACCCTGGGGGTGTCATTGACCTGCTGATATAATGTGATGAGAAAAGTACTTCACATTTGTGGTATTCTTTCCAAACACCATAACCTTAGTCTAATCATGAGGAAAACATAAGACAAACCCAATCTGAGGGACAATCTACAAAATATCCAACCAGTACTCTTCAAAACTGTCATTGTTATGAAAAACAAAGGCTAAGAAACTGTCACAGACCAGAGGAGGCCAGAGAAGCCATGACAACTTGTTGCCTTACAGCC